AATCCAGAAGGAGGAACAAGCCATGTTTCTGGATCGAGAGAGTTACGAGAAGTCTTAAGCAGTTGCCAAATATGGATCAATGAGAATGCCAACCACTTTTATAGTTAGTCAAAGGAACCACAGGGGGTCTGGTAAGGGAGGAATTTGTGTTGAACCAACACGTTGAGCAGAGAACGACCAAGTTGAAACAAGAAGGGTGTTTGTCGTTGAATGTGACAAATTGGGCAAATCTCGATCCGACAACAACTTGATCGATACAGCAGCTACACAGCTCGGGTATTTCCCAGTGTTCACATGGACCAACACGGTTTCCAGGTTTGTTGATTTGGGGGTCCAGGGGTTGACGGGACAAAAGTCTGGTTTGAGCGAGAGCAAGGAGACACAGATCAAGAACATGTTCCTGTTGGCAACACAAGCCATCCGCAAGATCACCAACAGTGAGTACAAGAAGTATGTCAAGAGTGTGGAGCGCCGAAACAAGAGATTGAAGGATGACGAGAAGCTTGAAATACTCCGTGAAGAGGACTTTTTACAACAGCGACCAGAATCGAAACCGGTCATTGTGTTGAACCAGTTTGCTCGCCGTGCAGATGTCCGGCTGAACGACTTTGTTTACCCGTTGTTAGCTGAGTGGGCATCGGGGTTGGTGCAGAACAACATTGCGCATGTGATCATTTTGACAGCCGACATTGGGTCTGTCCAACTTTTGAACGATGCTTTGCCCAACCAGGTGTTTAAGGATATTTCGTTGTCGGATGCATCAATGACAAGCTCGAAACAGTATGTTTGTGATGCTCTCAAGATCAAGGACACGGGTCCTTTAGATGCCTGTCTTAAGCCGCTCGGGGGCAGAATGTTGGACTTGCAGTCGTTTATCAGACGGTTGAAGTCAGGAGAGAGTCCGGAACAAGCCGTCCATGAAATGATCACACAAGCGGCTGAATTGATCACCACTTTCTTTTTAAGCAGCCACCACAAGTTTGGGGCTGGGGACAGCACATGGAACGCTGCTCAGGTGTGGTTGATCATGAAATTGTTGACCCAGTGTGAGACAATCAACTTCCTAGAGTTGGTGAAACTGCCATTGTTCAAGGCCAACAAGGAGACCATAGAGACATTGACGACATTGGAGAAGTATGATCTCATTTCACTTCAGCGTGACAAGGGGGTGTTGTCCAAGATCTCGACCGGAAGACCGTTGTTCAAGGCTGCGTTTGAGAATATCATTGGTGACAGACGTATCTGGCAGTTGTATGAGACTGATTACATCACAGCCTTGATTGGTGTTGAAGTGACCAAGATCCAGAAGATGGAGGACGAGTTGGAGAAGATTTACAAGATTGGCAAAGTAGACGGCAGAATAGAGTATTTGTCAAAGAAGATCGAAGCATCCAGTGCCAAGATCGTAGAGTATGAAAAGAAGGCGGCAGAGGTAGCGGCCGACAGCCAATCAAAGAACACATCGTTTCTTGGGATAAAGTTCTAAGACTCCGTGTGTATCTGTCTATATATATATATATATATATATATATTCAATCTAGTAACTTATTTTCGAGAATTTCGTAGACCATTCTTCTTCTGATCACTTTCATGTCGTTTTGACTGTACCCTAATGGCTTGTTCTCTGCGATATATCTAGCAGCAGTACAGGTGAACACACCACAGTCTGATCCATTCTTCTGTTGAGGGCTCTTGACGTGTGGGATTAGTTCATATGTGATTTTGTCACGGTTCAATCTGTTGGCTTCTCCGTCCATGTATATAGCTAAGTTCTGCACGGCACGGGGGTTTCCCACTGTATTCAAGGAATCATAATAGGAAATGGTTTTTTCAAGATTATCGATAACTGCTAATGCCCAATGCGTGTTGGATATATTCACGGGCACCAATACCTTGGACTTTTCAAACAAGTTGACTTTTTTCCTCCTTGCCCATCTCTGCACACCGGTGTATCCCTTACTTTCCAACGCGGTGTAGAAATGCGTTGTCCATCCAAAAATGTCTGGGTGTGCATTCATGATCAAATTGAAATAATAATCAATTACATTATCATTCAACCAGCTTGGCTCTCTTAGAGTTTGCAAGTCCAGCGTGGTGATATCAATCTGGTAATTGGAGTTGACAACTTTGGCTCTTTGTCTCCAGATACTGGTGACTTGTGACAACTGATCTGCCGCCAATGGTTTGATCAAACTAACTGACTCGAGTCGTTTCTTGGTTATCAATTCTTGCAATTTGTCATGGCTTTGTTGGTATACCGATGAAATCTTATCAATGTATAAGTTGGAGATGAAGTTGTCAACCAATGAGTACGAATGAATAGACATTGGTTTGGTAGGTACATAGTAGTCTAGAATAGATTGTTGGTATGGAGTGGTCGGTGTGTCAAGCAAGCTTGGTGAATCTTCATCCACCTCCCCAATGTACTGCGAAGATTCAGTAGGAACATATGAGTACTTTATTGGTTTCGCTATGGACAAGTCGGTACCATATTGATATGAAGTAGTTGATGATCTGGCTGTTGGTTGAACTACAGGTGCGATAACTGGTTTTGGTGACACATACCTGCCGTCACTTTCGTCAACCAAGAAGCTATTCCGACGATGTTGTCTGAGCAAGTGATAGTCATTTGCAATCTTGACGCCAATTATTTCGATATCTGAATCTGAAGTGATGTTGTTATGATTTCCTTCGTCTTCTTCATCATGTTCCGGGAGATGTATCAGAGAAGTGACAAACAATGATAGTATTAATGTTTTGATATATGCTATAACATTGTAAATGATTGATGGTTGAAGTTCATCGGGTCGTTTGATTATCTCTTTATCGTTAAATTCTAACCTTTCGTGGGATAGTAGTGGGTTATCCATTGGTGGAAATATGTTGTGAATGAAAGAAGTGAAGATGCTGGTTGTAAATTTTTTTTTAGTGGCTGGATTAACGCGCCATGTTTTTCATTAGTAGCTGAGATAATACTTTCGTGAAGTCAACTAGCATACATTCTATTAATGGCATATGTTTGTAAGACGACTGGGGTCTTTTGTTGAATTTATTGATATAGTAAACGTAGTACCATTAGATATAAAGTGTGAAATATAATTTTTGATTATGATTTGTAATTTTCATAAAATTTTTGTATGGATTCTCAATTAAAATTTTCTTTTTTTGTGAACTGTTAGGATTCTTTAGACAAAAGGGTTTACGATTATTATGATGCTAAATATAAATTAATCCAGAAGGGCACGACCATAACCACACACGTTGGTAGATTTAATTATTATTACAGTACATCTCCTCCCCCAATAAAAATAATGGTTGGTAGCTCTTATCTCTCATTTATAGTCGTATTAAAAAAGGACAACATACAGTGCATACAATTCGATATAACCAAACGTAACCTCTGTTATTTTACAACCACCAGATCTCTCAAGACGTTTATTACTAATCTGGAAACAAAGTTCATAAGAGTTTTTAACTATTTTCCCAACTCTCAATAGGAAAGGATAAAATTTTCATAAATGTATTGGCTAATTTTGTGATATTTCGATTATGATATTTGTGAACAAAAATAGAAAAATTATGAAATAAGTCAATTCCGACTAGCAGGAACACGTGACTTTAGTATGTGTTTAGATAAGAGTTCCGGGGTATGAGATTAGCTGACTTTATTGGCCGCACGCGACCGCACCCAAGTGGACGCACGTGGGAGATAATGAAGGGTTACAACAATGAACAAAGATTGGGAGAGAAAGAAAGAGAGAGAGAAAAAAAATAAATTAGATGCAACAATAAAAAGAGAAAATTAATTATTATTCAACCATCATTTCATCATCCTCTTCCTTTTGCTCCTCCTCGTGGTGATACTACAACATTATTTCCTTTTTTTTACATTCTTTCAAAGTTTAAATTTTAAATTCTAAATTCTAAAATTTTTCAATTCCTAACAATCCATTCTGAATCTTCCCTTACTTTCTTCTTTTCCTTTTCCTTTTCCTTTTTCCTTTCCCTTTTTTCTTTCTTTTCATAATGTCACAACAGCCTACTGAATCCAATCAACCCAAACAACCTGAAGAGGCTAAGGAATCAATGTTTTTTCAACAGAAAATGGACATCTTCAAAATGGACTACAATGAAGAGTGGAGTAAGAACTTTTTGGACTACTCTCATTTGAAGAAATTATTAAAAGAAGGAGTCATTAGCAATGCTTGGACTTCAAAAGATGAACAAACATTTGTCACTGCTTTGGATGAAAATCTCGAAAAAGTCTTTAACTTTGTTGAACAAAAATTCCAGGAAATCAATGAACAGCTTGATATTTTACAAAATGAAACTACCAATCCTGATGCATCCTTTAATCCTGAAGAATTTGCTAAAAAATTGGACCGTTTGTTATCTGAAGCTGAAGAATTGGAAAAATTTCAACGTCTTAATTTTACGGGATTTTTAAAGATCACAAAAAAGCATGATAGAATTCATCCTGAATATTCTGTTAAACCACTTTTAAATGTTAGATTAAAGTCCCTTCCATTCCATTCAGAAGATTTCTCTCCATTGTTATACAAGGTTGGTGCTTTGTATCAATTCTTTAGAGATAACTATCAAGTTGATGCTTCATTCAATTCCCTTTCCAAAATGTCATCTTTACAAGAAACCAACAATGAATTCCAATCTTTTAAATTTTGGATTCATCCTGATAACTTGGTTGAAGTTAAGGCCAACATCTTGCGTCATCTTCCTGTTTTAATCTACAATTCTAAAAATAATGGAGATGATGACGACGATGATGACGATGATGATGACGAAGAAGGTGGTCATAAACATATCACTGGTGATCAAACTATCAATGCCATTTATTTTGATAACGATCATCTTGATCTTTATAACAACAAACTTACCAAATTGAACAACAGTTCTACTTTGAGAATCCGCTGGGTTGGTAAGTTGGATGATAAGCCAAAAATTACTATGGAAAGAAAACTGTTTGATTCCAATTCTAACTTTTTTGTTGATGAAAAAATTGAATTAAGAAAAAAATATATCAATCAATTTGTTATCCAACATGAAATTCCAAAGAAATTAATTAAATTGAACGATGAAAAAAGTGTTGAAAAATTATTGGATTTCATTAAGGAAAACCATTTGCAACCAGTTTTAAGAACTACTTATAACCGTACTGCATTCCAAATTCCTGGGGATGACAGAATCAGAATTACTATTGATTCTAATTTGACATTTATCAGAGAAGATGCATTTGATTCTCAATTGCCAATCAGAGATCCTAAACAATGGCATCGTTTAGATTTGGACAATTCCAAGACTCCACAAAATTTCTTGAGAAAAGGTGAATTTGTCAAATTCCCATTTTCCAGTATGGAAATCAAGATTAAGAAATCATCTGCTAAGAATTTTAAGAAATTGCAATGGGTTAATGAATTGATCAATTCTTCTTATTTGGTTAAAGAGATTCCAAACTTTTCAAAATTCATTCATGGTGTAGCTGCATTGTTTTTGGAAGATGAAAAATTGGACAACATTCCTATGTGGTTCAATGAGTTAGAAGGTGATATTGTTAACGATTTACCTAAATTACCACAAAAGGTTAACAGTGAAGGTATTACTGAATTGTCCAATGATGAAAACTTGTCTAAATTCAAGTCAATGATACTTAACAATAAGAAATCAAATTTCCAACCAAGATCAGCCTCATTCTCAGGGTCATTGTTGTATTCCAAAGGTGACAATCCGGCTATGGACGATGCCAAACGTTTTGAAACCATTGAAGAAGCCATTGATTCAAATAAATCAGCACCTACTCAACAAGATGATCAAGCACCACCAAGTGGGGTCACTGATGATCAATCTTCTGACTTTGATGAAGATGAAGAAGACGAAGATGAAGGTCCAAGTAGAAAATCAAACCCATTGGTTAGACTTATTAACTTTCCAAATCAATTTTCTAAATTAGCAGATGTTGATTCAGAAGATGAAGAAATTGAATTACCAGCCGGTGTTACTAAACCAGATCAATGGATCAAGAATATGGGTCCAATTAAGATTGAACCAAAAGTTTGGTTAGCTAATGAACGTACCTTTAACAGATGGTTACATGTTACCACATTGTTTTCTTCCTTAACTTTCATCATTTACTCTTCTACCAAAGATTCAAACTTTGAAATGTTGAGTACTAATTTAGCATATTTCTATTTTGCCTTGACCCTTTTCAGTGGTGTTTGGGCTTACTATATTTTCATGGAAAGAAGAAAGATCATTTTGGAAAGATCTGATAAACATTTAGATAACTCAATTGGCCCATTAATTGTTGCATTTGGTTTACTTGTTGCGTTGATTATTAATTTTGTTTTTGGATGGAAGAACTTGGATTTGAAAGCCAATGAAGAATTCTACAAAAATAACCCAATGCATAAAACTGTTCATGAGTTTGTTATTAACCTAGTTAATTAATCCTATGCATTTCCTCCAATTATTGCATCCATCCAATCTGTGTATTACCTCTATTTTGATTTTGTTTTATATATTTGAAATACAAAAAAGTCTGATTTTTTTATCAAAGATATAATCTCTGATCATTATTATGTAATCGTATACAGTTTTTGTTTCATAACACACGACTAAGTTAAGCAGCAGGTTTCAATTTTTTTTTCCAACCACCGTGTTACAAGGAGGAGGGAAAAAAAATCTCAACAAAAGTGAAAATCGATCACCAACCTGAGTTTACTCTTTCTTTAGATACCAAGGAAATATGTCATTAAATATATCATTATACACGGTTTCTGCTGTTCTAATATTAGATAATGAAGGTAGTAGATTGTTTGCCAAATATTATAAACCAACATTACCTGAAGATTCAATCAATAGTTCAATAAAATTTCCTCATCAATTTGAAACTCAACAACAACAAATTAAATTTGAAAAAAATTTATTTGATAAAATTTATAAAGTCAATCAAGATATATTATTATATGATAATCATTTAATTACTTATAAACAAATCAATGATGTTTTAATTGTATTGGTATCTCCATTAAATGAAAATGAAAGTTTGATTTATTCAACTATGAATAATTTATCTGAAGCTTTAACTATTTTATTAAATAATACAATTGATAAACAAACAATTTTAGAAAAATTCGATATGGTAAGTTTAGCAATTGACGAAACTATAGATGATGGTATAATAATAGAATATGATCCAGCTACTATTGTTAGTAGAGTTACAAATCCTCCTGTTGCTGGTTTAGAAGGTGTTAATTTGAAAAATATTGATATTAGTGAAAAAGGTTTGTTCAATGCTTTATCTTTTGCTTCTAAAAAATTGGGTGAAAGATTACAACAAGGTTTATAGGTACCGTTGTTTTTGCTGTCTCTTAATTTTGATCAATTTTATATGACCTTTTTTTTTAAAAAATGAATACTATAGTTCTTTCAATATATATAAAAAATACATTTGAAATCTAATGTTTGATTTCAGTCTTTGTTATCCTTTATACATCACGTGAGAAGTTTCAGGTGATGATGGAGATGAGACTGAAGAGAAAAAAAATTACAAAAAGTAATATAAAGTGCAAAAAAAAATTAAAGAGATGATCTTCACAAAGGAAAGACATAGTATCTACGACGATAAAGTTGTTTGAAATAATGGCGAAATTCAAAAATGATAAAGATCAAAATGGTATGCGATTACCTAGTCAATTATTAGAACAAATTAATGCCAAAGATGCCGTTGAAGAAGATGATGAAAGGTTTACTAAATTTTCAAATAATTCACGAGGTAAGAAAAGAAAATCAGATGGTAATAATCAACATCTTAGTAGAAAAGAGAAAAGAAAACAAGAAAGAGAATTAAAGAAACAAAAAAGAATACAAACTTATAACAATAATGTAGTAAATCATAAGAAACAAGAACCTGTAACTCAGAAGAATCAAAATGTGAATCAAAAGAAGAAATCAATTAAGGAAGAAGATCCATTGGAAACATTAAGAAAATTAAAAGAATCTAAGAATTTGAAATCTATATTAAAGAAAGATAAGAAATCAGAAATTCAAATGGTTAAAGAGCCCGAGGAAGAAGATCCAATGGAAGCTTTACGTGCATTGAAAGCAAAGAAAAATGGCAATTCCAAAAAATCAGAAGTAAGAATAGTTAAAGAAGATGATTTGGAAGAAGAGGAAGATGATGATGACTTATCTGATTTTGATGATTTGGAAGATATTGAAGATATAGAAGATGAAGAAGATGAAATCGATCCTATGGAGGAATTACGTAAATTAAAGGGTAATAACAAACAAACTTCAGATATCCGAATTGTCAAGGTGGATGATTTAGAAGATGATGAACTTTCAGATGATTTTGATGACTATGACGAAGTAGAAGAAGATCCTATGGAAGCTTTAAAGGCATTGAAAGCTAAAAAGAATGGCAAGGTTTCTGAATCAGAAATAAGAATTGTCAAAGAAGATGATTTGGATGATGATGAAATCTCAGATGATTTTGAAGATGATGACGAAGAAGAGGAAGATCCTATGGAAGCTTTGCGTAAATTAAAAGGCAACAAGAAATCATCAGGTGATTCAGATATTAGAATTGTCAAAGAAGATGACTTAGATGATGACGATTTGTCTGAATTTGATGATGATGATGACGATGACATGGAGTCTGAGAAAGAAGAAGAAGAAGAGGATGATGAACAAGATCCAATGGAAGCATTACGCGCATTAAAGGCTAAAAAGAATGGAGAATCAACCAAGAGTTCAGAAATTCGTATTGTGAAAGAAGATGATTTGGATGATGACGAAGTTTCCGATTTAGGTAGTGAAGATGAAGAAGAAGAAGTACAATCCTTTGATGAAGGTGAAGACGAAGATGAAGAGGAATTCTCAGAACTTGAAGAAGAGGAAGATCTATTAGCTAAATTAAAAGCTCTTAAAGACGCCAAAAAGAAGAATAAAAAAGACAAAAAATCTGAAAAAGAAATTTATCCATTAAATCCGCAATTACAATCACAATTTGAACGAGATGATGAGGATATTGAATATTATGCTAAAAAATTAGGTCTTAAAAATGGTAAGAAATCTAAACTTTCTAAAATTGACGATGACGATATCATTGGTGGTCTTTTAGATGGATTAGATTTGGATTTTGACTCGGACAGAGAACAAGTACAAGATGATGATGAAGATGATTTCAATTCTGATGAGTTTAATGAAGATTTTAGTGGGGATGACGATGATGAAGAACTTGATTCAGATGGTGAACCAAGAGTTAAGGAAAATCCATATGTTGCACCTGGAACTGAAGATGATTCTAATGATTTAGATTCAGATTCTGCTAAACCACAGAAATATATCCCACCTGCATTACGTCGTAAAATGGCATTAGAAGCAAACACTACTCCAGAAGTATCTGAAGAAACACTTCGCTTAAGAAAGTCAATTAAAGGTCCACTTAATAAATTATCTGAAGCTAATATAAACACCATTGTTAATGAATTAAACACATTATATTTATCACATCCAAGACAAACATTAAATGAAGAAATCACTAATATTATTCTTGATAGTATTATTCAACAAGGTAGATTATTAGATACTTTTGTTTATCTTCATGCAAGTGTTGTTGTTGCACTTTATAGATTACAAGGAGTTGAATTTGGTGCTCATTTCATTCAAACAGTTATTGAAAAATTTGAAACTTACAATAAAGAATCAACTAAAACTAAAGAATCTTCCAATATTATTTCATTATTGTCTTCAGTTTATTTGTTTCAGTTAATTTCATGTAAATTGTTATATGACATGATTAAAGAATTGATTAATAATCTTGATGAAAACAATGCTGATTTGTTGTTAAGATTGATTCGTAATTCTGGTAATCAAATGCGTTCTGATGATCCAAGTGCATTAAAGGAAATTGTATTATTAATCAATGATAAAGTAAATACCTTACCAAGGGATTCCATTAATACCAGAACCCAATTTCTTATTGAAACAATTTCATCATTGAAGAATAATAAACTAAAAGTTGTTAATGAAGGTAATCATCAATTATCTATAAGATTAAAGAAATTTTTGGGTAGTATTAATAATAACAAATTTGGAGATCCAATTCAAGTTTCATTAGATGATATCCATAATGTTTCAACAAGAGGTAAATGGTGGTTAGTAGGATCAGCATGGAAAGGACATAATTCTGAAGAATCTAAAAAGAAAGATGTTGATGAACTAGCAATGAATGATATTTTAGATAATGCTGAACCTAATTGGATGGAATTAGCTAAATCCCAAAGAATGAATACTGATATTCGTCGTGCTATATTTGTTTCAATAATGTCAGCAAACGATTATATTGATGCTGTTACTAAATTAGATAAATTATCATTGAAAAGAAATCAAGAACGTGAAATTCCAAAAGTTTTAATCCATTGTGCAACAATGGAACCATCATGGAATCCTTATTATGGAGTATTAGCTAATAAATTATGTGATTCTCATTCATTACGTAAAACATTTCAATTCATGTTATGGGATCTAATTAAAGAATTAGATGGTGGCAGTGCTGGTAATAGAGACAACGACGATGATGATGAAGATGATTTCATTGGATTTGATAATGATACTGGTGATGAAGAAAGTAAAATGAAGAGAATTCTAAATTTAGGAAGATTTTATGGATTTCTTTTAGCTCAGGGTACAATGCCATTACATAATCTTCGAACCATTAATTTCTTAACTGCATCAAATGATACTGTTTTATTTTTAGAAGTATTATTGGTTAGTTTTCTTGATCAAGTTGGTAAGAAATCACAAAAGAATTCAATTGGTGCTGGATTAAAGAAATCTAAAAAATCAAAAGAAATGTTTGAACAGAAATTCGATGATAAGATTTTGGTTGAACGTATTTTGAAAGCTAAAGATCAACCGACATTATTAAGAGGTTTACAATATTTCTTGCAGGAGAAAGTTAAAACTAGTGATATTACATCTGGTAAAAAGCAAAAACAAAGAGTTTCATGGGGGGTAGATGCCATGTTTGACATTATAGATGAATTTTTAAAAGAAACTGAAGATGATTACTAATCTTGGATGTTGTGTATATACATGAAATTTTAATATGATTATTATTATTACTATTTACACTTTTTCTATAATTGCAATTGATTCAACATGTTTAGTTTGGGGGAAGAAATCAAAACCCATAATATCTCTAACTTTATATTTGACATTTGAATTTTGTTGAAGTTTATCAAAAGTGGCCAAATCTCTAGCTTGGGTGAATACATTACAACTAACGTAGATGATAATTTCTGGTTCAAATTCTAATAATTGTTTCATAAAAGATTCATTTGAACCTTTTCTTGAAGGATCAATAATAACCACACTATTTTTACCCAGAATTCCAGATTTGATAAATTCTTCATTTTTAAACATACTTGAAGCATCACCTTGAATGAATTTGATTTTATCTTTATTTAAATTATTAATTTTAACATTATGATTAGCATATTTAATTGAAATATTTGAAATTTCAATACCAAATATTTTAGTATTTTCTTGAAATGAATTTGATAAAGCAATACCAAAAAACCCAACACCACAATATGTATCAATTATGTTATCAATTGGCTTACCTTTAAGATTAATATGATATGTAATATAATCTAATACATTAGGTAAGATTGAATTATTATTTTGGAAAAAACAATTTGAATCAAATTGAAACAAGAACTCATTGATTTTTTCAGTAGTTACTTTATATTGACCTTCTAATGCAACTTGAATGAATTCTCCAGTATCTTGATTAATTCTAATACTTTGTCTCAACATAACTTGAGAATATGGTCTGGATTGTCCTAAATATTCATCTCTTATTTGTGATAATTTATCATTAATTTCAGGGGTAGCTATAGGACATTGTTTCATATCGAATTTTCCTTGATGATTAACAGTTTCAAATCCAAGTTTAGTATTAATTCCATTAGATACGGTGAAATGAGGGGTTAATTTAGTTCTATATGAATATTGTAATGGGGATCCACTAACCGTTCCAAAATCATTACCTAATTGATTAAAAATTTCAGGATAAAAATATCGATAAGCCTTCATTATGATTGATTTTTTAAAATTTAATTGATCTTCGTAAGTTAACATTTGTAATTGACAACCATTACATTGATTAAAATGATTACAAACAATTAAATTGTCATTTCTTCTAGAAACTTTGGAATCAGAGTTACTAACCTCAAGTAATTCACCTTCTGCATAATATTCATGATGCATTTTGATTTTAATTTTAACTTTATCACCAACTGTAGTTTTAGGAATTAGAAAAATTGTATATTTTCCAAAAATTTCTTCTTCTGGATCAATCACATAATTCTGTGCATATGAAGATTTAGGCACGAGTGCTATTCCTTCACCTTGAGATGTGACTGATCTAATAGTAATGTTATCAAGAAGAATATCATGTTTACGTTGACGAGGTAAAAAGTTTTTAATTAATTCAAATGAATTTTTGATTTTTTCAAGTTGAATGGGTAAATTATGAATTTGAGAATATTCTTTTAGAAAATCATTTATTTCTAGAATGGTTATGGAACTTGGATGTGTAAGATCAGCTATATCATTTCTTCTTTTCGTCTTCTTAAAATGTTTTAGTAATTTAGTAATTTTTTCCTTTTTATTGTTACTATTGTTGGTGTTCGCCGATACCGATACATGTCTGGACCATGTGATAAAACGACGAGTAGTAATATTCTTGATTATATTTCTTCGTAGTAGAACAAACATCAACGTATGTAAGGCAGATGTAGGATTTAAAACGTATTGAATCAGAAATACCAAAAAAAAAACAACAAAAACAAAAAAATGTGGGGATTCAATAAAAAGAGAGAGGGGATTTGATAAGAGGGAAATGATAGCTGAGAAGAGATGAGTTTATATTTTTCAACCTTGATTTTTTTGAGCACAGGGGAACGACCTTTTTTCTTTCTTAAATTCGGATGAATTGTTCTTGCTTCGGGAAATTACTGTTGGGCTTAGCGATACCCGAACAGTCTATTATAATACTATTATTATTCGAGTGAAGATTCGATAACAAAGCGATCCCGCCTTACCGTAAAATAATTCACCACCATCATAAGTAAAAGGCTAGAATAAACGGGAGAAGGGGAGTGAAAAACCACAGAAGAGTGAAGGAACAAAGTATCGTTACTTAAATTCGTATATGCAAAGTGATTCCAATTATCCCTTCCTTCTCTTTCTCCTCCCCTCCAAAAAGAAAAGATGAAGGTGTACAGAACCATCACTGTTATATTCCACAGTCAGATTTTAAAAATGAAAAATTATTCAGAATGAAAAAAAAAGGAATACGTAACCTACGGAATGACAATTATAGTTGTTACGGCGTTTTGTCCATAATGTCAATGATAGCGACGAATTGATATCGTAAATCAGGAAAATGAAAGTGCAGTAGAAGTCTATGTATTCATTTAAACATCCACATCCATATGCACTGCATGTTGTATAGTTTGATCTGCATGTGCTTCAAATATAGAAACATAATAAAAAAGAAAAAGTAAAAGAAAACAAGGTTAATGCTTTAAAAGGGGGGATTGCTGAAATTTAAGATAGCATTCAAATTGAATGGATACTAGTGAACATGCAAGGACTAAGAGTGCATGAGCATGAGTAGGTTTAATGCAAGTATATCCCATCATAGCAAAGCAATGATAAAAAAAAAAGAGGTGATTCGTACGTCTATATGGTTAAATTTTTACCGCTGAACCGGTTGGTCATTTTCACTGATACTGTAGCGAAATTATTATTATTATGATTATTATTACTGTTAGAGATGAATGATCTTTAAAATAAGAACAAGGGATCAATCATGGGAGATATTATTTTTAATTTTATGTAAATATTTATCTGTGACGATGGAGATCTGCATCTCTTACGGTGACCAAAAGTAATACTTAAATAATATTTGATAACTTCACGTGCATGGCATCAAATAAAGATCTTTGTTTAAAAAGCAAACTAGACCAGGCTAAGCCAGTATTCTGATTTGTAGTTTATAGGCTAGATTGGTAGTTATTCACCATATTTACGAAAAGAATATCCAATAATTTATTAGAAACGAAGACTAAAAAAAAAAAATTAAAAACTAAAAATAAAAGAAGAAGTAAAAAACTATCATAATAAAGTATATAGCAATCATTCACTTCACATGTACAGATACTATAAAAACAGGGTTTTACTCTGTTTAAAAGTTTGTATTCCATGGTGGTCGATCCATTCGAGTAAGACAGCGTAAAGTGCACGGCATTTTGGAAAATCATCAAATATGATACGAAACTGACACTGACTGTGTTACATAATTTGAAATTAAAGAAAGCTTGTTTTGAACCTGAAACGGAAATCGAGCAAAGGGAGAAATGGAAAAAAAAAGATAAGAATCAGTTAGCAAGATACGATACGATTCGATTCGATTCGATTAGGGACAACGTTTACTCTTGAATTTGGGTAAGTAACCGACAATAAACTCTTGGCTCTGCAACTAAAGCTGAATTAGCCATTTCATATGTTTGCTGTATCTATATCTATATCCATCTCTACAGGACCTTGCATTTATAGGATATGCATATTATTATTAACTCCTTTAATTCTATATTTGTATTACTCAGTTTCTGTGTTTATGTATGCCTCCCACATCGTCACACAGATGAAATCTGAAATTAGAGGCTTAATCAAACAAGATCAACAAATTATAACTATAAACCATTCATACAACAATGTATATACAAAGAAATATGTCTATCACGTGTCACTGTCAATATTCGTAATTGAAATTCTTCGTCTTCATCACCAAAGCAGAAAAGAGGAGTTAACAGTAAAAGATAAAATAAAAAAAAAAAAAGAAAAAGGGATGATGACGATATTCTAGAAAGTATCGTAAATCATGCTTCCATTACACAAAATTGAAAATATAAGCTTTTTTCTTGGGTATTTACTCAGATACACCACAACACCAATAGTTGACCGCCATAATCACTGTTTAAAAAAATCAGTGACCAATCATCATCATAATCATCAGTTATCAGATATCATCAGAATGGCAATCTTTTATCATTGGCTTTTGGTTTGACTGGTCAATACTACAACTGGCAATAGACAGACACATACACGTACAGTCTAATTCTTCTCCCATCATATTAATTTATAATTTTGATGGTACATGTGTATATATTTTCCACCCCCTCCAACTGTATGTATGAAAAGCCCGCAGCTAATCTCCACAATTCAACAGAACAGTGCAAATCCTTTTCGCCAGTACTATGTAGTAATTTTTAGAATCATAACCCTGCGGCTAAATCAACAAAAACAAATAAAGCCAGAAAAAGAAATAAAGGCTTATTCTGTGTGATTTCTTATGTTCGTATTGTTTGATAGAACTATATGTGTGAACGTAGGTGTGTGGATGTGATTTGTGATTGTGAATGTAATACGTACTTTAATATACTGTACATATACATTAAAACACAATAAGAATTATGCAATCCCGTATCTCCACAACTGTTCTTATTGTTGTTCGCTTTAAGTGTAAGTGAAGGTAAAGATACTTAGTTAATTTAATCCCTGTGTGTGAATGTGTGTGAATGTGGGTGTAAATGATTTGAATGTTGTTCATGCACCAGCTTTTTGCTTTGCCTTTGCTCTGCCGGATTTCTTTTTATTTAAATTTAAATTTAATTTTTGTTATTGTGTCTGTGTTGGTTATGGGTGAGCTAATTAGTTTTATCTTTCCCACTTGTTACTTTATTTCATTATTTGTTTGTGGAAATTTTCACAATTCAACAATTCAACAATGCTGGATGTCTAGATTTACAATTATATCATGATTATATAAAAAGAGGCTGTTGGCATCATTCTTATTCTTGCACTTTCATTTTTTTTTTTTTACATCTTTCTTCATTTGTTTGTTTATATCTAGTTTCTATTTTTGTGTCATTCCAGTCCCAACTATCATGACTTCAATCATGAGTGATACTATATTAACTACAACTCATACTCAACTCAACAACAATCATCTTCATTATGATCACCATAAAAACAATTCACCATTACAAGAGTCATTCAATTTACTCAACCTTGAAAGGAAGTCGTTACCGAGTGATATCTCAACTACTACCGCCATACCTGATATTCATATTGACATTGATATCGACATTGATATAAATAACATTGAATCTCACATCAACAACTCTCATCCACCATCACAACCATCTCCTCATCATCTACCATTATCGCCAGCAATGTCTGATACTACTATTGTTATACAACAAGTCGATTCTCCCGTTGATGAAGCTAATCATTATTCCACTACTACTAATATTTATACTACAGATACAAGCACCGGTGCCGGCACCGGTGAAGGTACCTCCTCATATGAATTCATCAACATCTTACGTGATGCCAATTTATCCAATTTCCTGAGTTTTTACTACTTAACATCACAAGATACTTTAGCTATTGATATAACTAAAACTTCTCCAGCTAGTTTCTTACCTAATGAATATGAAACCATTGCTCATTTGAAACTAATTAAAGCATTTGCTGTACTTAAAAAGAAGGTCCTTAACAACTCTCAAGATTCTAATATCAATTCAAATATCCTTTGGAAATGTTATATAATTAATGCTGTTAGAAGATTCATTATATTTGTTTCTTCATTAAAGAAATTCATGGAAAGATACGAAACCAACAATGATATTGATATAAATATAAATAAGGACCCAGCATTCTTATCTGTTATGACACAAATAATCCCACCATTGGATGTTCTTTTAGTATGGCATAGTTTTTTAACAAATCCTTCAAGTTTTTACGATGTTTTTGTTAGATGTAATATGTTACAATTTGCTAATTTTGCATTCCCTTTACACAAGGTTTGTCAATATATTGATAATTTTGATTTTGAATTCAGAGTTCCTTATGAATATAAGCATAATTATTTAGAGGTTATCAAATGTTTTATACAAGATGATGATAATAGTAAAGATTTACAATATGAATTGACTAAATTTTCTATGGATGATTGTCAAGTTAATGTTTGTTGCCCTAGTTGCAATAACGTCTTATCAGATCCAATTCCTTTATCAGATGGTTCTAAAGGATTTGGTGATTATGGGTTAAGAAGTAAAAACATTAGACTTGTTCAAGATTCATCATGTTATTGTTCATGGATATTTTTAATTACCCATTCTGAATTAAGGAAATTACAATTATATTCTGATGTTAAAAAACAAGGTATCTTACAAGGAACTTTTAAAATTCCACCATCTGAAGTAATAGTTAAAGATCCGATTAAATCAGGTAAGAAATTCAAATCAATATTTGATAGAATTTGGAATGAAAATAGATTCAAGAGTCTTGATATAATTATAAATTTACTTCAAAAAGAATGTGATAAACAATCACTTCCTCATGGTAAATTACTTCAAAATTATACTAAATTTAATTTAATTAGTATGACTGTTAGCAATGGTATTGAAATTGGTGATGATTTAGTTGATTTTGTATTAAAACAAGAGCAATTTAATAATAAAATGAATAAATTAAATTGGATTCATTCACCAAATATTAATCATATCTTAAATGAAGCAAATTCAAGATATGCTAAATTTTTTACCATTTTAACTAATCCAAATTTAAATAACAATAACAAATTAAAACCTACTTTGGATATTGAACTAATGTGGAAAACCCATAATTTGAGTGGATTTGGATATTTTAAAGATTGCTTAACTTCTTCAAGTCATTATATAATTGATGATGATTCAACAATATCAAATTCGTTAATGAATTCAATTTTAAATAATAATGATTTAAATAAAACTGCTGAAATTTTCAAAAACATATATGATGAAGAATATTTAATATGTTATTGTCAATCATGTACTATTGACAGAGCTTTTAATTCAATCAATCCTGAATATCAACCACTTCCGAATCCTCATCCTCACACATATCATATTGATAATAATTCCAATTCATCCTCTTATTTGAAACCCCCACAACAGCAACAACATCAGCAACATCAACAAAGACAAATAATTCATGCAAATTCATTTGATGAAAATATGTATTCTAAAAATTCACAGTATTCATGGGATTTTAATGACTATTCAGATGATAATGATGATCAATATAGTTCAACTTCTGCTCCTGCTGGTATTTTAACTAATAATAGTTTATTAGATGAATCTGATTTAATTGATATTGGTTTAGGTGGAGATAATGAATTTCTTGATTATTTCAGTTATCCAACTACCACAAACACTAACAATACCACGACTACCAACGATACCAATATAAATAAAATAAATCTAGATTCATCACCTATTCAAGGTTCTGTATCTCCAAATCAAGACGAGTTTATTGAATTTATCCATTAATTGTATTTTATTACTATTAGTTTTTCACGTGTTCATTTCTTTTCTTTATATCATTAGACTGCTGGTTAATTCTTTTGTATGACACATTTTGATGTACATTTTATAAATAAATATTAGATATAACATAACGACGTATTATTATTATTATTATGATTACACATTCAATTATCAACTCCATTTAAGGGGACTTCTTCATCGGAATATTCTCTTAAATCTAAAGTAACAGTTTTAGAACTATTCTCACGTTGTTCACGATAAATACCAACCAAAGCATCTGATTTTTCAAATAATGAATTCTTTAAAGATATAACAATAAATTGGAAATTTGGTCCAGCATATTTTTTGATATAATTACCTATTCTACCAACATTTGCATTATCTAAAGCAGCATCAATTTCATCTAAAACAAAAAATGGTGATGGTTGATAAGAATGAATAGCAAATAATAATGCTAATGCTGCCATGGTTTTTTCACCTCCTGATAATAATTCCATATCTCTGAAACGTTTCATTGGTGGCATAGCATGATATTTAATACCAAATTCATAAGGTGTATCTTCATCTTCCAAGGTCAAATATGCTGATCCTCCTAATGGAGACATGGTTGATTTAGTCAATTCTTTATAAATTGAATCAATACATCCTGATATATGATTAAATGCTCCCATGAATTTATTATATCTATTATCTTGAACCTTTTTGAATTTCTCCAGAATTTGTCTTTCCCTTTGACGTGCAGTATTATAATCTTTGTCATAACTTCTTAATTTATTCTCAACTTCATGTAATCTTTCAACAGCTTTAGCATTCGGTGTAAGTTTTTCTAATTCACTAATGGTATCTTGTAATGAAACTTCTAATTCACCTTCTAATCTATGATTGAACGCTTCTTTATATTTCTCATCAAGTAGATCATAATCAAGTTCGATCTTATAAACTTCTTTAATTGAACTTTCTGAATCTTCACCAACTGATATGCTATCCAAATCTCCATCATTCAATGGTAAGTTGATATTTTGAATTTTACAATTTCTTAAAACATTAGCTCTTTCAGAATCAACCTTCAACAAATTCTCTTCCATTTGAGTAATTTCTTTAGTAAATGATGATAATTCCAGCTTCGTATCATTAAGATCAGTTTCAACAGATTTAGAAGTTTTTAATTTATTTTGCATTTGATTTTCAAATTGAACAATTTCACTTTTTAAAACTTCAAATTCCGCTTCAGCAATATCCAATTTATTTTCCAACACCTTCTTTTGTCTTGATAACTCGGATTCTTCTTCTTCTAAATTACCAATCATATCATTAACACCTCTTTCACGTTCTTCAGTTTCTTTACATCTAGCTCTTTCAAATTCTAATTTGTTTTCCAATACAGAAATTGCTTTAGAATATTGTGCTCTTTCTTTAGCACGGATTCTTAATGTACTACCATGCAAGTTTTCATAATCCTCGATACCATTAACAAATCCATATCTTTCACAGAATTCACCAAAGATCTCAGATTTTATATTCTTAATTTCATCATTGACTTTATCAATCTTTCCATCAACTTTCTTCGTCTCATTAACTTTATCTTGAATGGATTTTTCAAAACCTTTGAATAAACCAGTTTGAAATTCAATCTCAGTCTGTCTATCTTTGATAATTCTTTCAATGTTACTTTGCTGATTTCTCAAAACTGGCAATCTATCATCTAATGCATTTATCTCTTCAGCAATTAAATTAATCTCCAAATCCTTTGGTTTCTTTTCCTGTAGTTTAAATACTTCTTCACTCAATTCATCTTTAACTTCATTCAATCTAGCAAATTCTTGTTTATCCCAACTCAAACTTACATTTGATTTGTTTTGTTGCTGACCACCAGTCATTAGACCAGATTTATGAATCACAGATCCTTGTAAAGTAACAATTTTATTATCAAATCTTACATTCGATTGCCATTTCAATCTTCTTGCAGTATCAATAGTATCAACAACTAATGTATTTCCAATGATATAGTTCACAGCTGGTTCTAATGATTTATCTTGATAATCGACAATATCCACACCTGGCAAAGCAGACGAATGAACTGATCTTAAATAGTTCAAATTAATAGGATCGGGTTCTATTGAATCCAATGGAATGAATGTGGCAGTACCAGCTCTTCTTTCTTTCAATACTTCAATACATCTATAAGCAATAGCAGAAGTCTCAACAATAATACTATCAAAATTACCACCCAACAATGTTGCCAATGCTGGTTCGTATTTTTGTTGTGTGGGTCTCACCAATTCATAGACCAACCCCTTGATGGCACCTTGTGGGAATAATCTCTTTAAAGTTGCAACATTTTCTCTTAATTTCTTTTGCTTATTGGATTCTCTTTGTTGTGAGGATAATTCATCTAATTTAACCAAGACATCTCTCAATTTGGTATTTAATTTCAATTCCTCTTGGTTAAATCTATCCTTTTGTTTAATAAGATCATTTCTTGCATCAACTTTCTGGCTTTTTTTATCAAGAACATCCGTAATCTCTGTAATTACATCATGTAAATTGGCTTTCAAATCAGTCGAAATAATTGATTCTAATTCGGCAATTCTATTCTCAGCATTGGATCTTTGATTTTCAAGATTAGATTTTGTAGCTTTTAAACTGTCTTTGTCATTGAGCAATAAAGATACTTGCTCTTCCAATTCAGATCCTGAACCAGCTAAAAATTTAGATCTCAATTCTTCATATTCCTTTTGACCTTCTGGAGAAATACTGGTTGTAGATGCTACTGATGCACTGATTTTATTTTGGAAATCAGTAAACAATTTCTGTGCGTCTTTTAATTGTTTTTCTACCGAGTTAACTTGTTTTCTTTGTCGAATGATATCTTTACCTAAATCAGCAACCTTCTCCTTATAAGTTCTTATTTTCTTTGATACTGATCTTTTGTTGGCTTCAATAGGAATCAAATCTCTCTTAGTAGAATCAATTTTGGTCTGAGCATTTTCAACTTCCTGTTGATGTTCTTTCAAACTCAACACACTTGAAGAATAGTCAGCCATCAATGATTTATAAGTTTTTTCCTTGTTAGATAAAGATTTCTTGACCAGTTTCAATTCTTCCTCTTTGGCTTTGATCTCTTTCACAAGCTGGTTATGTTTCTTTTCATTATGGAATAGTTTGTACAAGTTGATTTTTTTGACAATATCATTTTTCAATATAATTTTTTCTTCAAATTGTTGTTGTTCAACCATTTGTTCTTTATATTGTTTTGATTCTGAATTAAGGGTTCTCTTTCTTGAAAATACAGAAATGGTAACTTCATGGGCCTTTTCTTTTTCTTCTTTTAATTTCTCATATTCTGCAATATACTCAGTAGATCCACTAATATTTTCAATCAATTTAGTTAATGCTTTAGGATTTTGTGAAGCAATAGCTTCAACATCACCTTGGAAAACCAAAAAATTTCTAGCTTTAATCAAAATATTCTCCTGTTTCAAAACCATAGTAAAATTCAATTGTGTTACAGATATATCATTAATTCTATAATCACTATTTCCTGTGGTAGTAATTGTTCTTTTCAATTTTAAGATTTCACCATCATCTTTTTCATAAGTAGCTAAAACATAAGCGCTAGTTGGATCTTGTTCCGATGTATTGATTGTTGTATTATCTTCTCCCTGTTCTTCTTCTTCATCATCATCTTTTTCACCTTCAGGAGTAGGAGTGGATTTTCTTCCTCTGTATATCAAATCTTTTAAATTGTGGGATCTTAAATGGTATGAATTAACACCTAAAACAAATGAGATTGCATCCATCATATTTGATTTTCCTGCCCCATTTGGACCAATAATGGATGTGAAATAAGATGATCCAAATCCTATAACAGACTTTCCTTTATATGACTTAAAATTATATAGTTCTAATCCAATTAATCTACCCATGATTTCGTTTGTTTGTTCAACAACACATCAAGAATAAATATTGATACTTTATTTTTATTGTCGTTTTCGTTTTTTTTTTCTTTGCAAAGACGCGTTTTACTGGGTCGTGCGAATGTGAACAGAATTCCTAGTGAGGGGGGAATAAGCAGAGGACGTGTACCTACCTACATGCCAGAAATATAAGTGCATGAATATACTTCAATGACGAAAACCCAAAAAAGAAAAGGGTAGAGTAATCAAACTTGGTACCTGTTGGGAATCTTGATTGTTTCTTGATTAGATCGTACCTAACCTGGCCAAGAAATCGCTATCTGTGTGTGTAAATAGTGGACAAACAATATCTGTCAATTAAGCGCCAGATCTTATTCAACATTATCGGTTGATATTGCTACATTTCTTAGTATGAAACACTTTTCTTTTGTCTTTCATCTACCTAATCATATATTTAACCTTTAGAACACATTGCTTTTCATACGTTGTCTCTGATTTGCTGTGTTGAAGTGAGATAAATCCGAAGTTCGTTGATGGTGGTTCACTTTTTTTTTCTTATCGCCACGGAACCACGTTCCCGTCGACGTCCCCTCATGCCCAAACTCCGTTGCGTTGTGTGGCTCCGATTTTATTAATATTAATTTTTTTGTTTGTTTGTTTGTTTGTTTCCCTGCGGGATATTCCCTTGTGGCACCTGCATTCCTTGTAACAGCATATTTAATATTGACTCATCAGTTTTGATTTATTTCTTTCAAATTATATACACATTTTGATTGAATATTCTTAGATATTATCACCTATCAATCATTATCCTTCTAACCATAGATGACATACTCAGAGAAGCAACCATTATTAGAGAAATCAAGACGTTTCAATAATACCGATCATGAGGTTTCTATTCGATCATGTCCATTCTTTGAAAGTACAATCGGTTTAATCAACACTTTAAATCCATTTTATAACTGTTTATCCCCATTAACTAAACAATTATCTGATTCTCTGTTGGAAGATAATAATGTTTCTTGTTATTATTCAGATGATGATTCAGAATTGCCTGATTTGCCTTATTGTACTGATGAATGTCCCATTTATGTACCACAATCCAAATATACTCAAAAGGATAAACTTGATGAAATACGTAAACTAATGAAGAAATATAATATTGGTACTTATATAATACCTAGTGAAGATGCTCATCAATCTGAATATACTGCTTTAGCTGATAAAAGAAGAGAATATATTTCTGGTTTCACAGGTAGTGCCGGACTTGTTGTTATTACATTGACTAATGAAATTGATTTAACTGGTGATGCAATTTTATCTACTGATGGAAGATATTTTTTACAAGCTGAAAAACAATTAGATGGAAGATATTGGAAATTATTTAAACAAGGTTCTGCTGGATATAAACCATGGAATGAATGGGCGATTGAAAGTGCAATTAATAATAAATTTAGCAATGTTATTTCAACTGATCCAAGACTTATTAATGTTGCCGTAGGTGAATATTTCCAAAATCATGCCAAAATTTCAAGAAATTTCCAATTTAAACCTTTGTTACAAGTCAACTTGGTTGATGAAGTTTGGGGAAATGAACAACCTTCAAGATCATTTGATCCAGTTTATTATTGGGATTTGAAATATAGTGGTGAACATACAAATGATAAGTTAGATAGAATTAGAAAGATTATGAAAGAAAAAGGTAGTAATTACTATTTGGTTTCTGAATTAGATAGTATTGCTTGGTTGTTTAATCTAAGATCAGATACTGATATTCCATTTACACCCGTTTTCTTTTCCTATGCTTTAATTGAATTGGACTCCGTGACATTATACATCAACAAGAGCAAAATTGAAAAAGGAGATGATAGTCTTTCTGAATATTTATCAAGTATTGACAATTTAACTATTAAAGATTATGATAAATTTTTCAATGATGTTGCTGAATTGACACCTAAATCTTGGAAGAAAATTATCTTACCTACAAGATCTTCAACTACATTTGCATTATATGATATTATCATCAAATCATTTCCTAAAGAACTTATTGTTCATGATTCAATAATTGCAAATTTGAAAATATTTAAAAACAAAACTGAATTATTTAATGCCAAAATTGCCCAATATAAAGATTCTTTAGCTTTTATTTTATTTTCATCATGGTTAGAAGATCAATTAGTTAACAAGAAAGCAAAAATTTCTGAATATGATGCTGCTTGTAAGATTTATTCAATTAGAAAGAAATTACCAAATTTTAAAGGATTATCATATGAAACAATTTCATCAACTGGTGCAAATGCAGCAATAATTCATTATGCTCCAACAAAAGAAGAAAATCTGATTATTGATCCTAAAAAAATTTATTTAATTGATTCAGGAGCTCATTATCTTGAAGGTACAACAGATATAACTCGTACTTATAAATTTGGAAATGAAGGATTACGTGATTTAGATAAATTATATTATACATTAGTTTTAAAAGGAAATTTATCAGTTGGTATGGCAAAATTCCCACCAAATAATAAAAATACAGGAACTATTTTAGATTCATTTGCAAGACAACCATTATGGAATAAAGGATTAGATTATAATCATGGTACTGGACATGGAGTCGCAAGTTTTGGTCCTGTTCATGAAGGCCCATTATTTATTCTGACAACTACTGGTGGTCCATCAAATGGTTTATTTCAACCAGGTGCTATTTTAACTGATGAACCTGGATTTTATATTGATAATGAAGTTGGATTTAGAGTTGAAAGTGAATTAGAAATTATTAAATGTCATGATTCTTTAGGTAAAACAAGACAAGGTGAAAATTTCTTGGGGTTTAATTATTTAACTAAAGTTCCATTTTGTAAAAAATTAATTGATTTAAATCAATTATCTGGTGTTGAAATTGATTGGATTAATAAATATCATGAAAGTATTAGAAATGATTTTGGTGATAAACTATTAGAATTAAATGAAAAGAAAGCTTATGATTGGTTAATTAATGAAACTCAACCTTTGTAATCATAAATGTAATAATAATATAATCTGATTAGATAAATATAAATATATATGTATATTACTTAGTTATATTTAATTGAAGTAGAATAAAGTTTTGGAAATCCTAAACTTGTAGTTTTTGATTTAGCATTAGCAGGACGTTGAAAACTTCCTGGTCTTTTTAATCTATTTCCAATTCCTCCTCCTCCTCCTGTTGCAATACCTACACCACCACCATTACTATTAGTACTATTTGATATTTGTAATGGTTGTTGTAAATTTGAAGAAAACTTATTTGATATAAATGGTGAATTTTTAGGTAATGTTAATGCAGGTTTATGTGGAATATGATTCTTATCAATTGCACTTGGTCTTCTATATTGAGGTATTCTAATTGATGCAGCTGCAGTAGCAATAGATTGTGAATTCCATGAATTATTCTGTTCTTCTTGATTTTCTTTATTAGATCCATTAACTGCAATTTTAATTTGTTCTGGATCAATCTTGGTACGTCTTCTATCACCTGCCAAAATCAAGTCTGAAATACGTTTTGTAGTGCTGGCACTAGCTGTAGTTCCATCTGTAATTGCCATTCCTGGGGTGTTTGTAATTATATCCTTCACAATCTTACTGACAGCATTAATCACACTATCATTATTGGATTTGGTGGTTTCTTTATAAACAAATCCTGTAACACTTAGAGCAGCCACGGATGAAATTAACATTGCTTGTGAATTATCAAGTAATGAAGATCCAGCAAGTAAATTGAATAAATCAGTTAATGGTTTGGTTAGTTTCTCATCCTTTGACATCTTATCAACTTCAGATTGTACATTGGTTATGTTCTTCGTGGGTAACTTTTCTTGGATTTCTTTAATATTCTTTACTATTGCAGGACTGAACCTTGAACTGTGACAATTTTTCAAAAATACATTCATAACCTCATTGAAATAGACAAATATTGCACCAACTTCATCATCTTTGATTTCCTTTACAACCGATTTGGCATACCCAATAGGATCAAACGCAGTAATAATAGTTGTTAATAGATCCACAGATTTCTTATTCTCGACTTTATTACTATCATCTCCTAATTTAGTCTCGATAAATATTTTAGTCAATTGTAATGCCTTTAACATATCTTGTCTTGCATTATCTCTATAAGAGGCAACCACATCTTCAATGGCAGTTGATTTCTTCAAAAAAGGAGTTAAAGAACCGCCTGATGCTAATTCTTCAGTCATTTGTCTAATAACTTGTAATATATTAGCATCGGATAGTTCACCACTATTGATTCTAGAAGTCAAGGAACTAATGACAGTTGTTAATTGAGAAGTTACGGCAGGATTTGACAATAATGATGGTTTTCTCTGTGCTTCTGCCGTGACTACAGAAGGTCTGGTGGCAGGTGGTCTTGGAATAGTTGCCGTAGGCTTTGGTGGTTGAGGACGTGGTGTGGTAACTACAGGAGCTGATCTTGGATAGGATTTGAATGATGGTCCAGCAGTAGGTTTTGGTGATGCAAATTTGGGTCTTCTAGGTGGTATTGGTCTAGTGGTTGTCAATGGCGGCACTTGAATAGATGGTTCAAGTTCTAAATTAGAAAGTAACTCTTGTGGATGTTCCAATGCCATTTTGAATGCATTTTGTAAGATGTCATTCATTTCCAACTGCTCTAAATCCGCAATACCACCTGCTTGAATATCAGCCGTTTTCATTGCATTTGAAATAGCAGACTGCAATCTTCCATTTTCATTAGCATCTTTATTATCATCGGTGTATGCTTCTTTTTGGAAATGTTCCAACACACCAGCATCCAATTGAGGTAAACCAGGAATAAATGGTAATGGCGGGTTGAATTTATCATCCTTCAAATGATCCTGCACTTGATGGGATATTTCAACGGCCAAATTACGAATAGCGATTTCTCTACTAGTCAATTGAGGGGCTTTCTTGGCGGCCATAACAGATTTAAATGCCTGAGTAATTGCACTTTCCATATCCTCATTTCTAGGTTGTTGTTTTTTCTTACCTTTTGGTGCTTTCAAAGCTTGTTGAAATGATTGGGCAATTAATGCATTAAGATCATCATCATTTGGTTGATCATCTTTCTTGGCAGAAGTAGATAATGATTTGAAAGCTTCCCCAATGGCATTTTCCAATGCATTGTCAGTTTCATCTGGTGGTAAAGGAAGTGATTTATCTTTTCCCAGTTGTGGTAAAACATTCTTGAAAGCATTCCCTATAGCAGCATCCAAATCAATGTCCTCGTCAATACTATCTTTTGCTGAAATTTCCTTCTGAATTGGAGTGGAGTGTGCATCTTTATCGATAAGATGCTCAAATGCAGCACCAATAGCTTTGTCTAAATCCATAGAATCTATATCTATTGTCGCCTTCTCTTTGGATTCTTGTCTCTTGGCATCATTGACAGTCGATGACGGTATTGACGTGTCATCTTTCTCACCACCTCCCAAAATGTCATTGAAAGCATCTCCTATTGCAGCATCAAGATCAATAGCATCTGTTGAACTATCCTCAACAGAAGGTTTCGATACTACACTAACAGCTTCTTTCAAAGTAGTAGATGGAACATTCTCGATGGGTTTCGGGGTCTCTTTCTCTTTATTTCCTAAGATATTATTGAACACATCACCAATTGCCTCATCAAGATCCATATCATCGTCCGACTTGTCTTCGGTTGGTACCGCAGCGGGAATTTCCGTCTTGTCCTGATCTTTAGTGGGTGCAGGCACATCATCTGTGGCTTCCTTTGCTTTATCACTAGACATTAGATCTTTGAATGCATCTCCAATTGCTTCATCTAAATCGACTTCTTGCTCATCTTGCTCATCTTCATTCTCATTTGATTTCACCAGTTGAGGTTCCTTGACTGGTCCTGTATTTTCTGGACCACCGGAGATTGCATTTTGAAATGCCTGACCAATAGCAAGATCCAAATCTTCAAGGTCCTCGTTTGATTCAGCTTCATGAGCTGTGTTATCTTTCAACTCTGGTTCTTCTTTTTCAGGTAGTTCCTTTTCAACTGGTTTTGGCTCTGACTCTTGTTCATTGGATTTCAGTTCCTCTAGTAGATTGGTTTCCTTTGGTTCTGGACCTTCTGTCGCTTTTTCATCTGTTGAATGCTCCTCTATTGTTTGTTCTTCTGTTGGCTTCTCTCTCGGTAGGTCATTTGGTTGTTCTTCATTGGTAGATTCTCTTGCGGGTAGTTCTTCCTTATCTGGTTGAGTTGATTCTGGTTCTTTTGGGGATTTTTCCGGTAGACTAGTTACATTATCAAATGCTTGACCTATTAGATCTTCCAAATCCTCATCATCCGGTTCATCATAATGACTATCTGATTTTTGTTCATTGGCGTTATCCGTTTCATCATCTTGGTGTGATTTCTCCTTTTCCTTTTCCTTTTCTTCTTCTTCTTGTTCTGCTCTTTCTAGTAGTGTCGTACTTCTGGTTTCCTGTACTGTTTCTTTATCATGTGTTGTTTCTCCAAATACTCCACTGAAAGCTTCTCCGATTGCATCCTCTAGGTGATCTACTTCATTTGCTTTGTCTTCTTGTAGTTCTTCTTCTTCTTCTTCTTCTTGTTGTTGTTGTTTACTATTTGTTCCTCCAAACACGTCGTTAAAGGCATCACCTATGACATCATCTAAATCTAGTTCAATATCCTCTTGTGGTTCTTCCTCTTTATTGGGCACTTCTTCTTCTTCTTGATGTTGTTCTATCGGTAGTTGTTCTTCTTGTTCTTTATTTTGGTCATTGTTATTATCGGTTGGATTAAAATCAAATTGGTCAAAAACATCACCAATGGCATTTTCTAAATCTAAATCTTCACCTATTGATTGATCTGGTTGTAGCAGTTCACTCATTTTAAGACCTTATCAGTCTAATAATCTTGTTGTATATGGGTATTCCAAAATCTATTAGGGCAATATCCCTTAAAAGTGTGACTTGTGTTGCTTTTTTTCTTTTTTTCTTTCTTGCGGATATTGTTTTGATTTTCTCTCTTGTGATGGAGCAGGCAACAAACAACAACAATCACAGAGACAAAATTGTTGGTCGTGCAGGAACCGCGATTTTATGGGTTTTTTAAAAGAAAAACCACAAACCATAATCAATCAATCAATAGCTCTTTTTGTAAGAATAAATAATGTATATATATATATATATAATCTGATCTATGAAAGTTAATAATCAATTCTATTTGAGTACTTTTTTTATTCGTCTGAATCTTCCAGCAATACAGAAAAGTTAACCACTAAACCTAAATTACCATGACCTACAGCATCATATCCATCTTCTTTGATAACAAAATTAACATTGTTTAAAACATCATTGGCATAACGATTAACATTGAAATCAAATCTTGGTAAACACACTGAATAATTGGAATCTGCAAGTTTAAGATAATTAGTATCAAATTGCAAAATATACTTGACTCCCTTTTTATACGTGAATGTATCACATTTGGAGAAATTATGAAAATGTTTCTTTCTTGAATTAGGATCATTTGGAACTCCATCTAATTGATCTGACAAGTTTTCAACCAATTTTTTAGCATGAGGATCCACTACTGAGTTGCCATTATCGATTGCCATATACGTGAAACTGTTCAATCCAGGACCATATAAATAAGGCTTATCAGTGTATGCATCACCCTTAATTGAATCATTGATAAACCAATTGAAGATTTTTAAACCAGTGTTTAACAAAGTGGCAGGGACATATTCTTTAATGGAATAAGTGAAATCATTGCCAAAAATTAATGATGAACCTTTGATATCTTTATTTGGAGTGAATTCAATGTACATTCGTAAATTGCTTTCTACTTTTTCCTTTTCTGGAGGAGGAAAATCTATTTTTTCACCATTTAAGAATGTTTTATCTTCTAAATTGTATAAACTGTTTGATAAATGAGGTTTAGATCCATCGAATTTTTTAATGTTGATATATAATTTGAATAAACCAATATCTGAATTGACTTCTAATGGCTGTTCGGTGTTTACGGGAACAATCTGAAATCCTTTATCATAACTGTTACTTGCTTTAATGAAGAGACGTTTAGTAATTGGCATGGTTATTTTATAGAATAAATGAAAGAACATCCAAAAGGAAAAAAAAAAAAAAAACCAAAAAAAAAGGAAAAGGAAAAAAAAGCAAGTGAAATCTGTATTTATATCTATTAAACTAAAATGATCATGAAATCAGTGGTATAGTTCTTTTTTTTTTAGTTTGCTTTATTTTATGTGATGATATGAAAAAGAAGAAGGGCATTATCGGCAATAGATTGCTAATGACCGCTCTCTCTGTTTGTCTGTTAAGCTCGGTAATGTCTCATTTTGTATTGCCACTGTGAGTGATATGGTTTTTGAACAGAAGCACACGTCCCCTCTTTTACCCGTAAATGCAAATCGAAATCCAAATTCAAATCGAAATCCAAATTCAAATCGAAATCGAAATCGAAATCGAAATCGAAATCGAAATCGAAATCAAGAAAAGAAGAACCATATGTAATTTGGATGAAGCATTGGTTAAATGCTAATCGCAGTGGAAATATCGTAAATGTAAATCCGATGTGATTATGTTCCAAGACTAAACAAGAAATTGGTGATAGTTTATATAATCCTCCCCAAAATCCGGGTGTGTCAAAAATAAGCTCGATATTAATTTACATTTCCTCGGTGGATGTGTGAATTCAGTGCAGTATATCCGGGAAGATTGTAATTTTGTAAAAATAAATAAATTAATTGCTTTCCCTTTACTTTTGCTTTTGCTTTTGCTTTTGCTTTTGCTTTTGCTTTTAAATCTATGAGTAATATCACAGATGATCCACAAAAAGGAAAAAGAAAAAGGGAAATGGGTTTGTTCACCTATTCCGGAATTCGCAAAAAAGCAATTCGGAAGTTGGATACAAAATATTTTTATTCACTTATGTTGAATAATAATTGCCACCTTATTGATCTACTATTATTACTATTGTGTATTGTACTTTAGAACATTACAGTGTGTGTGTGTGTGTGTGTATGTCATGGAAATGCATTATTCACTAAACAAGAAACGGCAGGTAAACAATTTCTTCTTCTTCTTCTTCCTTCTACCTTCTACCTTCTTTCGAGGGAGGAGGGGGGCGTGTACCTTGCACGACATTTTTTTCTGGTATTGTCAGAATGTGTAACAGACATCTTTCTCATTTTTAGTAATTCATTATGTAAATTTATATTTTACTAGGTTATTTGTAATAATGCACCAGCAGCAATTACAGCACCTCCTTTAATCATATCATTTTTAAGGAGGTGATGATCTGAGCAACATGTGTTGTTCTCATGATCTTGTCGTTGTCTCTGTCTCTGTCTCGTGGAAATGCCCACAATTTGAACGATCGCTCAATTTCCGACTTCACTTTGATTCATAGTGAAGGGTGGTAGAGAAAAACGTGAAACGTGTATTTAGAGGGTCCCTGTTGTAGACAATTCGACATGTGGCGATGAACAAGTCATAGTAAGAAACAATCGAATCGGATTGAATCGAAATGAGTTGAATTGAATCAATAGAAGAATATTAATTAGTTGTAAATTAACAATAACCACTCCAATATTCTACTGATCCTTGTGGTCCGAAAAATCTGTTGTTGTTTTAATTTCCCAAGGAGAAGTTGAAATCCCCCACCTAATTTTTCACGCACTAACAAACCGGAATAAAAGAAACGACTTCCATGCGAAAAAATAAAAAAAAAAAAAAGAAAAATGGCAACCAACAAACAAACAAAAGAAAAAGAAAAAAAAAACTATAAATTCATCAGGATTTCTCCCAACAATTGAAATTAATCTTTAAATTTTTTCTATTTTTCTTTTCCTTCTTCTTTCTGTTATCAATCAAATCAACTTCAATTGATTAATACTATATATACACAATGTCCTCAAACTCATTAGAACAATTAAAAGCTACCGGTACTACCATTGTCACCGATACTGGTGAATTCGAACAAATTGCCAAGTACAAGCCACAAGATGCCACCACCAACCCATCCTTGATCTTGGCTGCCGCTAAAAATCCAGACTACGCCAGTGTCATTGATGTTGCCATTGAATACGCCAAAGAAAAAGGTTCTACCCCAAGAGAAAAGGCTGAAGTTGCCCTCGATAGATTATTGATTGAATTCGGTAAGAGAATCTTGGACATTGTTCCAGGTAGAGTCTCAACTGAAGTTGATGCCAGATTATCCTTTGACAAAGAAGCCACCATCAAAAAGGCTTTGCAATTGATTGATTTGTACAAAGCTCAAGGTATTGACAAGAGCAGAATTTTGATCAAGATTGCTTCCACTTGGGAAGGTATCCAAGCTGCTAGAGAATTGGAATCTAAACACGGTATTCACTGTAACTTGACTTTGTTGTTCAACTTTGCTCAAGCTGTTGCTTGTGCTGAAGCTGGTGTTACTTTGATTTCCCCATTCGTTGGTAGAATCTTGGACTGGTACAAAGCTTCTACTGGTGAAACTTATACTGCTGAAACCGACCCAGGTGTCAAATCTGTTAAAGAAATTTACACTTACTACAAGAAATACGGTTACAACACCATTGTTATGGGTGCTTCTTTCAGAAACACTGGTGAAATCAAAGCCTTAGCTGGTGTTGATTTCTTGACCATTTCTCCAAAATTATTAGAAGAATTGTACAACTCTACTGATGCTGTTCCAACTGTTTTGGATGTTGAAACCGCTAAAGCTTCTGATATTGAAAAAGTCACTTTTGTTGATGATGAAGCTGCTTTCAGATTTGCATTAAATGAAGATGCCATGGCCACTGAAAAATTATCCCAAGGTATCAGACAATTTGGTAAAGACGCTGTCACTTTATTGACTGAATTGGAAAAAAGATTTTAAATGATGAATAATAATGTATAAATTGATTTGTTGCCTTCGCTTCTTACGAGTATTTAGTTTAATATAACTTTTTTTTTGGATAAAAGAAATATATATATATAATTGATAAATTTTTTACAGAAAGGTGTATCGGTATATAAAATGTTGAAACTTCCGGATTTGGGGGGCACAAAACAGTATAGTGATGTAATTGATTAGTAAGATGAGACCGGATATGGTAAAGACACTGCACGAGAAAGGTCGGAAATCGAATCGTGCTACAGGGTGGGTGGGTGTCTGTCCGTGCGTGTGTCAGAGGAGAATATCCAACAACTTTAAACCAAAAAGCGAATACAAGAAAGAAAAAAAATAAAGAAAGGGCGATAATATAAAAATTAATGTTCGATTTTTCCGATTGATCTACACTTATTCCATAGTAATAGTATCTCCATTCATACATCATCAATATTTGCAAATGACAGTTCAACCACAGACAGATATTATATATCCTATTAAACAGAACTCATCAATAATAGCAGGATTTGGAAGAGGATCATCAGAATTAGGTATTCCAACAGCAAATGTACCTATTAATGAAGAACTTAATAAATTATCAACTGGGATTTATTATGGATGGTGTAAATTAATTCCATTAACTTCACAATGTGATGAAATTAAAAAAAGAATAGATGGTAAAGAAGTTTTATTTAATCATGGAAATAATTTAACTAATGAAGAAATTAAAGTATTTCCAATGGTTATGTCAATTGGTTGGAATCCTTATTATCATAATAAAGATAAAACTGCTGAAGTTCATATAATTCATAAATTTAATAAAAATTTTTATGGTTCTAAAATTGAATATGTTGTATTGGGATATATTAGACCAGAATTGAATTTTAATTCTGTTGATGAATTAATTCAAACTATTAATGATGATATTAAATATGCTAAAGATAAATTAGAAAATGATGATAAAAATGGTAATGAATATTTTTAATGATTATGTATCAAGTAGTTATTCCGTGATGATAGATTTTATTATATACGTTTAATTTAATTAGATGTTAATTTTATTGGTGATTCATATGTATTCGTCTGTCTAATCTACGTAAAAGAGTGTTTGGGTAGCATAAAGTCATATAAGCAAGGGGTATCTTTAATCATGAAAGTCTAGAAAGGTCATTATTTGCAGTAAAGTGATCTTTCCAGGATTTATCATACTGCAGTTGTTGTTCATTAGCTTGGTTATTTCTTTTATTAACAATAGGAAAACAACAAATTGGTTCTGGGACAAAATCCCAACAATTCTTAAATAGATCAATATGATTATCTATCGGAGATTGGTTTTCTTGTTTGTCATCGTCATCCTCTTCATCAATATCAACAGTTATATTATCTATTTCTAATTTTGATCTATCATTCTGGGTTGAGTCATATTTTGTTATTCTTAAATTTTTATTCATGGTAGTTGTGTCAAGATCCAATTTTGCTAATCGGTGATTAATCTCATCTAATGATCTGGTATTATTTTGCAATCTGATCCGTCTGATTTTATTAGGAGTAGTATAACTTGAGGTTCTAATATCTTTCACATTTGTTACCCTTGAATTCACCAACATAATCAATAAACTAGTTCTATTCTTATAACATAAAGAGTAAAGTGGCAAATAAAAAAAAAATTGATTAAATTGGATGTACGTTAAAAGCAAAACCTAGTTTTTAAACATTGTCGATATTTATCTTCTCCCCCCTCCCCCATATGATTTCTACTGAGTTTAGAACAATGATCACACATCACGTGCGAGCATACTTTATCTATCCACACGACCGAACAGCCTAAACCCTGTTTCTATTTGACTTAACTTGTACACTTATCATTATCTAAATAACTTGACTTCCAGATGATGTAAAAGTGATGTGTAACGGATTGTATCGGATTGTATCGTATAGATCATAGTCCCAGGAGACATTATATTAAGTGGGTGAAATGTCGTGGGAGCAAAATTTGAGGCTGAAACTTCATTGAAGGTCATTTGCAGTTTTTTCCCTCATTCCTTTGCTTATCATCACCATCACCATCATCATTATTATTATTATTGCTTTCCGTTTTTTTTATTGTGCCTCTCTCAATTCAGATGGATAGAACATAAAATAAAACTTAAATAAAATTTCATATCTACTTTTATTCTGGCAATAACAAACCTCATTAAAGTTTCAGGGTTACTACTACTGCTACTACTACTACTATTGATATTACTATTACTATTACTAATTTTCCTTATTTAAATTACGAAATTATCCATTAACCTAAATTTCAAGTGTTTTTTTTTTTGTTTTCCTTATTCTTACATCATTATCATTATCATCAATATCAATATCACAATTAGCAAAACTATTCTTTAAATCAAATGCTACTAAATATATTAGAAGAAGAGACATCCCAATGTACATTACCATCATCAGGTAAACATATCTGTTCATATATTCAAAACAATTGTGATTACAATTATTTTAAAATTTCCACATTATATTATTGTAAATATCACAATACAACTACCTTAATAATTATATCATTTTTTATTCTACTATCTTTAATACTTATATTAATATCCCTAAGTATTCTTGTTTCAAATTATTTATTTAAAAATTTAAATTGTTTAACAACTCAACTTAATTTAAATAGTCAAATATTATCATTTATTCTTATTCCTTTAACAAATTCACTTCCTGATTTATTAAATTATTATATTGCTTTAAAATCAGGATCTGTTGATCTTGTTATTGGTCAATTAATGGGATCTTTATTAATAATGTTTACAATTATAATTGGTTTAATATGTATTTTAACATCGGGTTATTTTATTGAACATCCTAAAATTTTAATGTTGGATTTATCAATATTATTAATTATAATGATTTTATTTCTGGAAATATTATCTGATGGTAAAATAACTCAAAGTGAATGTTGGTTAATGATTGCAAGTTATTTAATTTATATTTTATTTTTAATGTTTTTTGATAAAGATAAATTAAAAGAATTTGATGAAGAAGTATTAATTGAATATAATGATCATCTGCATTTATATGAACATCCTTATAATATTGAAGATGCTGTTAGTATATTATCCCATGAAGATGTAACTAGTTATGGATCAATTAAAAGTGTTTCAAGATTAAATTCCCCATCTATCATTGTTGATTATAATAATGATATTGATAATGATATTACTGGGATGTCATCAAATTCTTTACAAGTTCCAGGCAAATCATTCCATCATTCATTACATTCTGATTCATCATCATCGGATAAATCACCCTTGTTAGTTTCTCAAAATGATCTTGATATAACTATTAATTCTGACTATGACGATGAGGAGGAGGTGGAGGAATATCTCGATAACTCGGATCTTGAGGATGAAATATTAATTGTTCCACAACAAAAACAATCTATAATTCAAAAATTTTTAAATCTTATTGATTTCACATTTTCATTAACAATTCCATATCATAAACATATTGAATCTAAACATAAACAATTAATTATAATTTGGTATATTTTTGAAACTTTTTTAATATTCAATTATCAATTTTTCCAATTATCATTTATTTATTCAATACCATTATCATTATTGATTTATCTGATAAATAAAATTTTCAAAATTCCAAATAATTTAAAAATAATTTTGATTTCATTTATTGGATTATCTTCAAGTTTAATTATAATTTCAAATGTTGCTATATTAACTCTTTATTTATTGAAAAATTTAGGTTTAATTTTAAAAATTTCAGATTATTTATTAGGTTTATTGGTTTTTTCATTAAGTAATTCATTAAATGATACAATTACAAATTTAACAATATCAACTAAAATTAATCCAATTCTTGGAATAAATAGTTGTATTGGAACCCCATTATTAATTATATTATTAGGAATTGGAGTAAATGGTTTAATAATGACTTTGAAAACTGGTAAATCTATTGATTTTCATCTTACTCAAAATGTAATTATAAGTACTGTGGGATTATTAACAAGTATTTTATTATTGATTATTTATCTACCTTTAAACAATTATAAAATTGATAAAAAAATTGGTGGAATTTTGGTACTGCTTTATTTTTTAATAACAATAGTTCAAGTCTATCTAGAATAACAAAAGAAAGGATGGGACATTATATTTAACACGTTTTATTTCATTATTAGCACTTGTAATTAATATATAAATTCACTTTTCAATTAGTTTTTTAACTTGCATAACTTTTTCTTGAATAACTAATGGAATGTTTGTATTGAATTGTAAATACCCAATCAATAAATTAATAGCTCTTTGATAATTTTTCAAATAAATTTCCAAATCAACTAATTTAATTAATACTTTATAATCATTATTAACATACCTTAATGCATCATTTAATGATTTCCTTGCTTGATTAAATTTGTTATGATAGATATAAAAATCAGCTAATTTTAACCATATTACTTCATTTGTAGTTTCTTTATAAATCCATCGATAATAAACCAATTCAATAAATTTATTTGGATATTGTTTAATTTCAAGATATTCAATATATCCTAACCATGCTTCAATATCTTGTATTGACATTGTTTTCCTCTTTGTAATTAGTTTTTTTTCAAAATTATATAATTCAAAAGTATGAAATTGAGTTGAAATATAAGCATCAGTAAATCTTTTCTTTAATTCAGCAAATAATTTCTTATCAATTTTATAATTATCATTGGGAAGAATATATTGAAGTTTATCTTTAGCTAATTTTTCATCTTTAGATAATTTATCAATTAAATCAAACCATTTTTTATAAAAAAATCCATAATTGTATAAAGGAATTTCAAGTATTATTCTTAATAATATAAAATACTTTTTTTCAAATTCATTATTATCATTTTTATAATTATCTAAAAATTCCAAATATAATTCATAAAATTCAGATGAATAAAAATGAAATCCAATAAAACTTCTTGATTTTTCAAATAATTTTAATATAGAATCAATATTATTACTTATAGTTTCAATTTTAAATTTCAAAAAATCAATCCATAATTCAATACACCATGGTGAAATATCTAAACTTTTTAAATAAATTTCATTAGCTTGATTAGTATTCCCAAGTTTAAATTCCCAATTTGCATATTTCATCCAATATTTAAATTCAAACGGATATTTATTTAAAATTGATTCATATGATGTTTTTAATAATTTGATTTGTTCAGATGAAGATGATTTTGTTATTGGTTTTTTATCTATTGTTTCTGATGACAGGATTAATTCTTTCCAAAGATCAAGATTATTGGGATCTTGAATTAATTCAGTTGATATTTTATTCCATTTAGCATTTATTAGTGACATTGGTTGTATAGGATTGATGATGGTTGTATTTTTGATAACTTTGTTGAGAGATGTTGTCTCGAATTTTTTTTTTTTTTTTTTTTTGCAACGAGATTTTTTTTTTCTCTCTCTTTGGGTTGTCTGTATGGTTTACCAATGATGTTGCCAAATCTACAAACAAATGTAAGTTATACACGATGATAAACTGTTGGTATGCTAAAGGTTATCCATTGCAATACTGTCTATTTCTACATAACATTAGTTAAATTGTGGCAAATTTAAAAATTTGCGCCCTGTATCGAATTCATCAAGACTTCAAGATCAGAGTTGTCGAATGGTGTTTTCATCTCACAACCATCTACAACTTAGAAACATATTATCGAAATTGAATGATGACCCATATGTCCAATTGTTAAACTTCTATTGTTTATTGTGCTTTGATGAGGAGAAGCAGAGTTGTAAACAATTCTTTGGACCAAACAATGCATTTCTTGAGTTGACTGTTCAGCATCGGAGTAAACACATGCTCAACCTCATCTTGCTAGTAACGACAGGCATCTCCCCGTCCTCTATTTGTATACAAATAATTATGGTTTCCAATTAGTGTTATAACGTGAATAACTCTCATATTGTCATTACAACTAACGAATAAATCACACTACTGGTCATCTTCTACTCCTCCTCCTCTTCCTCCTACTCTTCGTATTCTCTAGTGGAAGAAAAAAAAAATGCAAAAACTCAATTCTAACATTTCATAGAAAGAAAAAAAAAAAAATTCAAAATCATACACTTATACTCTTTTGTTAGTTACTGTTGATACTAAACCATTAATTCACACATTCATTTTTTTATATATATTAAACTTAGGAATTAGATCATGTCAGATGATGAAATATCAATAGAGGGAAATCTTTTTGATGAACCAGAAGGATTTCTTAAAGAAGTTCCAGAATCACATTTTTCAACATATAAACGAAAATTATCAAATGTTTCACCACAAGAAATTACTTTGAAATTAGTTGGATCGAGTCCTTTATGGGGTCATCTTTTATGGAATGCAGGTATTTTTACTGCTGATTATTTAGATAAACATTCAAATGAATTAATTAAAGATAAAAAAATTTTAGAACTTGGAGCTGCTTCTGCATTACCAAGTTTAATTTGTTCAATTAATGGAGCTAAAGAAGTTATTAGTACTGATTATCCAGATCCTGATTTATTATCTCATATTGAATATAGTTTTAAAGAATTGGAAAAGAAAACTAAATTAAGTGATTATAAAGTTAAAGGATATATATGGGGACAAGATTTAGGAGAATTGATATTTAATGAAGAAGATAGAGAATTAAAAGAAGATGAAAAATTTGATTTAATTATATTATCAGATTTAGTATTTAATCATTCTGAACATCATAAATTATTAAATACTTGTCGTAAAGGTTTAAAGAAAAATGGTAAATGTTTGGTTGTTTTCAGTCCTCATAGACCTCATTTATTAAATGATGATTTACAATTTTTTGAAACTGCAAAAGAATATCAATTCAAACCTGAAAAAATCGATTTAGTTACTTGGACTCCAATGTTTGAAGAAGATGAAGAAACTGTTGAAATTAGATCTAGAGTATATTCTTTCTTTTTAATACCTGAATGGAATTAATCCAATTCATTTAATAGATTAATATTACATTTACATTTACAATTCGAAGTTCTTTTTCTTTTTAACTCTTATAAAAAATTGTTGTTTATTAAAGAAAATTTAACAAAAAGTAAATTTAAAAGATCATGTATATAAATAATGATATCAATCCTTCATGAAATTCGTCAACCCTTTTGATAAACCTCTTTTTTTTATTATACTATGAAACAAAGTAAAAATTAAGGCACCCCCATTAAAACAAAATAAAAAATGAAAAAACTATTATATTACAATATGAAATTTAATTCAGTTCTTTAATCTTTTAATCAAATTTATTGAGAAGCTGGAGATGGGTTCATCTTTCTTTTACCGTTGGTTAAAGTAACGTTAACAAATCTTCTAGTGTACTTTAATCTCATGTAAGCTCTACCTTTTGGTTGTTTTGGTTTTTCTTGTTTTTCAACTTTTGGAGTTTGAGATTTAACTTTACCAGCACGAGCTAAGGAACCGTGAACTTTACCCTATAAGATAAAAAAATTATAATGTTAGTATTCATGTTGTTATAATTGTGAATTCCAAAATTTAAACTGAATCTCTATCTTCATATTGCTCCCTCTCATCTTGTTTTCTTCTTTATTCCCTCCCCCATTTAACCTATCAAATAATCATTCCTTCTGTCATGATAATATCCATCGTGGTTGATTCATTCAGTTATTTTGACTCATATGGTGTGGTTTCACATACCATTTTGACGTGATTTAGTGTATATGGTGTATTAAGAACTCTCTATTAAAAAGTGGCCAAACTTGATTTTTTTTTTTCTATTTTGTTAATGCTGTGGAATCCGCGCAAGGTAGGAAGGAACTGTGTGTGTGTGTGA